TGTGCTCTCTCTCTCTCTCAAATAAATAAATAAAATCTTTAAAAAAAAAAATGTTTAAAAAAAAAAAGTAGTTAATCTTGGGACACCTGGGTGGCTCAGTCGGTTAAATGTCTGCCTTCAGCCCAGGTCATGATCCTGGGGTCCTGGGATCGAGCCCCATGTCTGGCTCCCTGCTCAGTAGGGGGGTCTGCTCCTCCCTCTCCCTCTGCCCCTCCCCATGCTTGTGTTCTCTCTCTCTCTCTTTCTCAAATAAATAAATAAAAACTTTTTTAAAAAGTAGTTAATCCTAAAGAGAAGTTGAATTGGAGGGTGAAGTTGGGTGGATGGAAAGGTTTTTACTTTACCTACTTCTGTATTATAGGATCTTTTACAAGAATATGTTTTGTGTGTCATTAAACTAAAAGAAACATTTTAATGTACAGTTTTAAAAACTGATCAAAGCACAGTGAATTTAACAGTTCACTTTTAAAATACCAAAATAAACTATTCTTAGTTTATACCTGATTTCCTAACTGTATATTGACCCTTCCCCCCAAAAAAACATCTAAAAGTAAAATAGACAAATTTTTTAACATATCAAGACAAAAAATATTTTTGAACAGAGAATGCTTGAAACAAGAAAAGGCATTTCTAAGTTCCTTTCCAGAACACGGAAATACAGAAATATAGCAAAATGAAAGAGTATTGACAATAAAGAAATCATTCCTCCCAGCTCTTACCTAAAACTCATATCCTTTTAATTGCCACCATTAGTTACTTGCTGTGGAAAACGTGATTGTTTAGAATCTTGTTTGACTATTTCCTTCCTGGAATCCACTGGCTTAGAGTACCCCTTTTGCTAAGAACTTTTTTAAAAAAACATTAAGGCAGTAGAAAAATTTCTATTTGTGGCTAAATAGATGGATGCACAAAAAGACTTATATTTACATAAAAGAAGATGACAGATGTTACTTGGGAGTTTGTTGTATATTAACTCGATGTGTTGGAGGAGCACAAGTGTGAAGAAATTGATATACAAAACAAGAAGGTTCTTCCCACAAACGCGGTCTGAGAAAGGCAGCTACCAACCAGTCTTTGTTTAGACAGCAACTCTTCCATTACCCTTAATTACTTACCCCTGTACTTGTAAATTGAGGGTCCCTGCAGAACACACAGCATTTCTATTAAACGTAATTACCTTTCCCTTCATCGTCCCTGAGAGAAATGTCACTACCCAAAAATGCAGTTTCCCAAGGAAGTGAACTTCTAAAACAGGATGCATCTCTCGACACGCCAGTCCCTCCTTCCCAGATTCTCTGCATGTCATAAAGAAATACCCAGACACATTATTTACTGGCTTAAACTGGCCACCTCAGTAAGAAAGGGAGGTCTTCAGGTGCCACTCAGAACAAATCTTTAAATGTCATCTGCATCATCTTGTGGGAGAAGAGAGAAGTTAACTTGGAGGCCCAAAGAAATTCCACTTTGGTGTTTATTAACACCACCAGAGAATGCCAGAAAGAACCACCAGGGATTAATCGGTGGCTCAGCTCCAGCCTGACCCTCACTATGACGGGGCTCCAAGCACTGCTGGGTAAAATGTTAAGCCTTTCACACACCACCGACATGCCAACGGCTTGCTAATCAATAGGATTTAGTTACCAACACAAATAAAAAGAGAAATAAAAGAGTTTTGTGAAGGCTTTTATCTTCTCTGGGGGCATCTGCTCTTCTTTTTCTCAGGCGCTTGAGAAAGCCAAGGGGAGAAAGCTAAAATCAGAAAGAGGGTAGAAACAACTCCTCTCTTCATTTAAGTAAATAAAAGTATTTTATTTCTATTGCCCAGGATCTGCCACAGTGGGGCACCTAGTAGGTATTCCACTGACACATTTTTATTAGTTATGTGAAGGTAATGAGGAACACTGAGAAATCTGGGAATAGGGCTTAAGTTAAATAGAAGGTCCTCTGATGTCTCAAGCGCCTGAAATATATATATATAGCCTCATTCAATTAAGAGCCATTGTGATCACACTATAATCTAAACCAGCAGGGGATGGAGTGGGACAGGTAGTGTTCTATGCATTTATTCCATTTATTTAAACAGAAAAAAAAAAAAAACAGGAAATGGAGTTAGAGATATAAAATTTTATGTGAGATGTACTCTGAGCAAGGACGTTTTGCAAAATTTTCAGGATAGAACATGGATTAATGATAAACACAGGGATCATCATGATAATTACACAGCACATAAGAAATCCTACAGATATTTTTCATGTAGAAGTCTAAAAGCTGTGAGATTGGTCACAGTACTTTCAGGCCTTTCTCCCTGTGATGCTGATTCTCGCTGTAACATTTTCTTATAATGACTTCTATTCTTTCCTTTCTCAACTTAGTGGTTCCCTCGGAAGAATCTTATTACTTCTTCCTAAAATAGCCATTTTGATATATGTAGTTCTCCAAAATGCTTCCAAATAGTGAAGAAGAAAGCAAGAATGCTTTAACAAGAATTGATATGAACATATGCTTAAAATTCAAACACCTGACCAAAGTAATCTATTCCCAAAAACATTAGATTTAGCAATTTTCTCTACTTACACACTCATTTCCTGTGCATTCTCAGCTGCAAAATAAAAGATCTTGATCTGTGGATGGCTGATCTTAAAAGCACTTGAAGGGGGAAAAACACAGACACATTAAAAATTAGAAATTAGTGTTGTTGTCAATGGGTTTGAAAGTAAATCAAATATATGTGTGGTAAATTCACCTGCTTTCTTTGTAAATTTACAAAAAATAATTTAGTTACATTAAATACCCATTGCCTAATTTCTACTTCATGTAGAGAGCAGAGAATTAATTTATCGTGTTGAGACATCCAGAAAAGGACTGGGTCTTGGCTGGTCGATAGTTTCTATTTAAAACATATGGGCATATTCTTGTATTTTCATTTGCTCACTGCTTTGCTAGAAAGAGACAATAAATTAAAGTTTACGGTCTTAGAGGTGTCCCTTAAATACTCAGATCCATAAAGCAAAATATTTATTCAAATTCAATCAAATACATACAAGAATGTTATGTGTAGGAAAATAATCAAGTATAGAACTTCCACAGTGTGACAACACATCAAAAATTATATCCAAGCCTCCCCCTATGAGTAGAGGAAAAATATATTTATTGTCAGTTTAAAAGAAAAGTAGAAAACACTGAAAATTAGCAAACACTGAAATGTTTCCCCTTTATCATTAGACCAGAAGTCCTGCAGCACAGGCCAGCATTTTGGTAAATAACCAATTTGGTCAAAACCACGAAAATCAACGCAAGCTTATGTATCACTGGATACATGCAGCAACACTAGAGTGGCAGAGACTTAAAACTAATACCATTTATTCATTTTCTTAGAAAAATCTAGTCAATTGCCACTATTGGTAACATAGGTCAGTAGGGAAATAAATGTCTTTCTGATAAAACGGAAAAAGATGTCAAAGGTAGAAGAACAACAACAACAAGAAAAAGGTGAAGAGGGCACATCTTCCAAATGTGGCTGGATGCTATCACGGCAAGAGCAGGTGAATGGGAATACAGCTGGCTGACCAGCGAGGCTCTCCTGCAAGTTCTAGGCAAGCTCAGACTCTCTGGGCTACTCCCTTCTCAGTAAAATGGGGACCATACGCTGATGACTTTTTTTGGTTCCTGTCTGTTCTCAAATCTTTTGGACTTAAATTATATCAGGGTATAATCCCAAAGTCCAAGATCTCTCAGAGAATTCTATTTCAAGGATAATAATGTTATAAACTAAGAAAAAGAAACTGGTTTTGCTATCACATCTGCAGCTCTGGGGAGTCCTATTGAACTAGTCATCCTCTTCACCAAGAAAATATCTTGACATCTGATCTCCCAGCCACTCGTGGATGGGAGCTTGTTTTTCGTTCCATCTCAGACACGGTTGTCAAAAATATGCCATGCCAAGGCTCCATGGGGTTTTATAATCCATCTGTTCCACAAAATGAAATTCCAGAAAACAAGAGGTTAAAAGCTTACACTGTTGTTTAGGATGCCAACCCATAAAGTTCAAAATTCTCAGACATTTGGGTGTTACCTTCACTAACTTCCAAGTTACCATATCACTCGAGAAACTAAAATTATGAAGGGATGTTATTCTGGCTCAGGGTTTTGTGGAAAACAACTCACTGCTTTTTCTTGCATTCAGATGCTCTCTCCACAGTGAAATCGGGCAGGTTGACAAATCCATCAGCCTTCTCTGCCTGAGAAAAATACATACAATAGATATGAATAAATGAGTCAATCCTAGCAGTAAGTTTACAGAGACCATATACATTGAATAGAGATCATATAATGAAATGATAGAGAATCAAAAGATACCTCCCTGAATCAGCATAGGACTTATCCAGATACATATTTTATGAGCGACATTAATATTCTCCTGCTAAGTCCTCCAGAATCTTTCCACGAGAAGTAACATGACACAGCTCAGGGACGGCCAACTCTTTCCCTATTGCCAACCAGAGTGCAACCCCTACTCTTTCTTCAGAAAAATTAAAATGAAGCATTCAAACCTATGCCTGTCCCATCTTCCCTCTCCTGTATGAGTTAATCTATCCACACTCTTCATTTGAAATACTTTTTTCTTATAAGGCTCAAAACTCAATTCTAAAGGGAACTTCCTTCTTTAAAAATGATGTATATATATTTTTTCATTCAACTCATCTATTTCTTGATGAACTGTTTACTCATCATTTCACCAATCTATCTCAAAAAGAATGTAGGGGCGCCTGGGTGGCTCAGACGGTTAAGCGTCTGCCTTCAGCTCAGGTCATGATCCCAGGGTCCTGGGATCGAGTCCCGCATCGGGTTCCCTGCTCAGTGCAGAGCCTGCTTCTCCCTCCCCCTCTGCCACTCCCTCTGCTGTGCTCTTCTGTCTATCTCTCTGTCAAAATAAATAAATAAAATCTTTAAAAAAAAAAAAAATGAAC